AAGTTGATAATTTTTTTTGTAAATTAGTAATAATACAATAATACGTACATAATACTTTAATGGTAAATCAGTTATAATATAATTATAAACGCATAATAACATAAGTTAAATTAAAGATAACTTAACATAAAAAGGTGATAACTTGGTAGTTAATTATTGATGACGTAGTAATAAATTAATGATAACTTAATAGTAAATTAGTGATAATTTAATAGTTAATTTCAGTCTAATAGTAATTAATTGATATTAGTAAATAATAAATAATTTAGTAGTGAATCAATTATAAATTAGTAATAAATAATTGATAATTTAGTAGTTATTTATTGAAAACTTAAAAGTAAATCAATATAACTTAATAGTAAATCATCAATAATAATAATTAATTAATGATAACTTAATAGTAAATCATGCATAATTTAATATAAATCGGTAATAACTTGGTAGTAAATCATAGATAATTTAGTAATAAATCAATGATAATTTTATGACAAATAATTTAAAACTAAGTAGTAAATCAATGATAACATAATAATAAATATATAATAATATAATAATAAATCATTGATAATTTAGTAGTAAATTCATAACATTGTAGTAAATTACTAATAATGTAATAGAAATTACTAATAATTTAGTTGTAAAATAGTGATAATTTAGTAGTAGATTAGTTAATCATTAATAACTTTTAGTAAATAATTGGTAAATTAGTAGTAAATCAATTATAACGTTATAATAAATCATCAATAACTTAGTAGTAAAGTACTAACAATTCAATGATAAATCATTAATAACTTAATAGCAAATCATTCATTAATTAGTAGCAAATTATTCATAAATTAGTAATACATCATTGATAAATTAGTAGTAAATAATTGATAATTATCAATCAATATTGATAATTTTTATTATATTTGAAATTGCCAAGGATTGGACCTTGAGTACTAGCAGAAATAAATCAAAATTTTCATTTTAGGGGTTAGGATAAATCTACCATGAACATATTTAATAAAAAAAATTAGTGAAAAATTATAAAATTGAATAAAACAATAATGTTATTACATTAAAAAAATTATCTCATATATTATTAGTGGATTTTTAAATGTCATGTTTCATAATTGTAAATGCATAATAATATATTAGTAAATTAATGATAGTTTAATAAATATAATTGATAACTTAATAATAATTTAATAGTAAATTAGTGATAACTTAATAGTAAATCACTTTCAACTTAATAGTAATTAATTGATAAACATAGTAGTAAAGCATAAATAACTTAATAATAAAATAAATGACAATTTAGTAGTTAATCATTGGAAACTTAAAAGTAAATCAATATAACTTAATAGTGGTTAATTATAAAAAACTTAATAGTTAATTATGAAAACTTGATAGTAAATTATGGATAATTTAATATACATCAGTGACAATTTAATAATAAATCATGGTTAATTTTATAATAAATCTGTGATGATTTTATAGTAAATAATCAAAAACTGAGTAATAAATCAATAATAATATAGTATTAAAGGCATAATAAAATAATAGTAAATCATTGATAATTTAGGTGCAAATTATTAATAACTTAGTTGTAAACCACTAATAATTTAGTTAAAATTAGTAGTAATTTAGTAGTAACTTAATTAATTATTAATAACTTTGTAGTAAATTATCAACAAATTAATAGTAAATAAGTTATAACTTTATAACAAATCATTAGTAACTTAGTAGTAAATTATCAATAATTTAGTAGTAAATCAGTAATAACTTAGTAATAAATTATTCATAAGTTAGTCATAAATCATTCATAAGTTAGTTGTAAATCAATACTAATTTGAAGTAAATCATTGATAATTTAGTAGTATATCATTGATAACTTAATAATAAATCAATGATAATTTAATTATCAATCACTGATAAATTTTTTTATACTTAAAGTTGTTAGGAATTAAATCTTGGTTACTTGAAAAAATGGAGTTAGAAATTTTATTTTTGAAGATTAGGATAAACATATCATAAACCTTGTCAATAAAAAATTTAGTGAAAAAAATTTTAAATTTGAATGAAATAATAATATATTATATAAAAAAATTATCTTATAGTAAAACTAAACTCATATTTTCTTATAGGAATCTATTGTTAAATATATGATAACATAAATTTTATCAATAATTATCAAAAGTATATTATAAGTTATCAAAAAATTACAAAAATTACATCAGAAGGTTATTAACATTTTATAAAAAATTTCTAAAATTATATAAATGATTACCAAAATTATATCAAAGGTTACCAAAATTTTATCAAAGGTTATCAAAATCAAAATTATATAAAAATGTTATCAAATTTTACTTATATTATACTAAAATCAAAACTAAATTATTAGTATTTATCATTGTTATCATAGTATCAAAAAAATTATTTATTAAAATAGATTTTTAAAGATAAAAATTACATTTACATCATGTACATGCCAAAAACTTATTCACTAAAAAAACTACATTCTTTGAGAAACATTATTTTGGAATGTAATCAAGGTGCCACTTTCTCTAAATTGATAGACATTTTTGCCTTTTCATATGCATATATGTAAATTGCTCGTAGGAAGAGAATGTCTAAAAAAGCCAAGTATGATCCTCAACGAGGATAAGATTTATATTAAAATTTTTAAGTGGAGTTATGTGAATTTTTTTCTTAAAAATGATTTAATAAAAAATTTAAAGTAATAGATTAATAGTGAAGATTACTAATATGTAAAAAAATGTATTAAAATGTTGTTTATAATTAAAATTTGATCGATAATTATCCAACGGTAAATATTTTATTAATATTTTTACTAAAAATGTTTATCTAAAAAATATTTAAACAGTTTTCAAAATTTAAAAACTTGATCTATGTAACAAGACCTTTTAATTTATTGATTTTAATTTTCGACTTTAACTTTTATTTAATCATTTTTAATAAAAAATTTTATCTAAGTTTTTTATCCTCAGTGATTAGGGATAGAAAGGTGTAGTAACCATTGATTAATTACTTCTTGTACCCTTCAAACCGCCCAAAAAACAAGTCCAATAAACAAATTGGATTTTCCTAACTACACGTTTTCTAAAAAAGTTTTTTTTTTTTTTATGGTTGAGATTGTTAAAATTGAAATTATATTTTTTGAAATTAAAAATTTTATATTTTATTAATAATCCATGCGAGTGCGACTGTTGCTAAAAGTGCTAAATGACTATATATTATAATATATTATATATTTATATAACCTTAAAAATTGAAGCTGAAGTTCACTTTTTTTTTTTTTTTTAGAGAATAGTTTGACTCTTTTGTTTAGGTGGGTTGTTTTTATTTGTATTTCCATTGAGTGAGAGAGATAGAGAGGGTAATGTTAGGCAAAGATTGAAAGGTGTATTCCTTTGAATTTGTGTTCTTTCTTTTGTCAAAGAGAGAGATAAATATCATTCCACCTTTGAAAAACATGACACTAGGCTATTTCAATCATACGGGAAAGATTAAGCAATGATCTAAAATAGAAGAGAAGAGAAGTACATATTGTTCAGAAAGAAAGAAAAAGAAACCATTTTGAAGGAGGGAGGTCTTCCTTTTTACAAATGGACTAGGTTCATTTGAACATTAATACTTCTGCTTTATTACTTTGAAATTTGAATACTAGACCCTATAATGTGTAGCTCTTCAATTTCATGCCACACTCCCCAACTTCAAACTTTCTTTCATTTATGTATAATTAAGGTTATGAGCATGTATATTTAGAACATGAAAATTTTGAAGAAAATATAAAATAATAAAATAATAAAATGTGTAATTTTTTTCACAATAAATTAGTACTATTAGATTTGTTAATTAGTAATAACACGGATAAACATCAACAAACAATATTTACTATTATCTTTATTTATATAAAAGTGTGAATATTAAAAATATTAAAATATTTTTAATAAAATTTTAATTTTAAAAGTGTTAAAAATGATTGATTAAATTATTTTAAATATATTTTATTTAAAATAATATTTTTTATTAATAAATTCTTATTCATACACAAAATATGATTTTCATATGAAATAATATATTTACCTAAATATCACTAAATTTTATTTACTTGAGTTATATATGAATGGCTTATAAAAAAAATAGCCTAATATCATCAAATTACATGTTCAGAGAGTATCCTATTAAAATTATAAGCTCAAATTTTGTAATTTTTATTTCAATTTTTTAAAAAACTTTTTTTATTGTATACTCTATAATTAATTATAGATAAAGGTTGCTGCTTATTTGGACGACGAGAAAAACAAAAAGTGAAATACAAAAATTAGGGCGTTCTAAAATTTTTTACATGTTTGAAAAGAAGGATATTATGGGGCCAGGTGCAATTTACAAATCAAGTTTTCATTTTGCTTTATTCAATTACGTTGTTTATATATCCTCTTTGTGAATCTCAAACAATACTTATATTTTGGTATAAATTTTAGTTAATTTTCTGAATAGAAGCTTTAATTGCATAAAGGCCAAAGGATGGCTAATTAATGAGATGAAGTCTCAGAAGTCTGATGAAACAAAGTCAACACGATATTCGGTGTGATTGTTGACTGGTTCCTACTATCTTAACAGACAAGAACGCTGCAAGAGAAGAGAAGGCAAAAACAAAGTAAAAGAAAGAAAATGGAGGAGAGTGGGAGAAAATAGATAGACAGACAGTCGTACAAAGTCAACCTTTTTTTCTTCTTTTGTTTGCAAAGGAATAGAGTCATCTAATCGAACTTAAATTAATTGATTTATATAATTTTTTTAAAAAATAATTTAAAATTTGAATTTAAATATCTATAATTACTTTATATATTCTTAGGCTGCCAGTAAAAGAAAATCACTGACTTTATAAACTCCTTCACTGGAAGAGACTAGAGAGCCCAGTACTTTTTTTTTTTCTCAAATTTGAAAGCATTTGCGTGTCTCAGTTTTACTCTCTTTCTCTCTCTGTCTATTCTGTCTATTTGTCGGATTTTGTCTTTGTTTTGAGGTTAGAGTGATACCGAAGAGGCTGAGCTAGAAGGCATGGGGAGAGCTCCATGCTGTGACAAAGCAAACGTGAGGAGAGGCCCATGGTCTCCTGAAGAAGACGCCACCCTCAAAACCTATGTTGAGACTCATGGCACCGGTGGTAACTGGATCGCTTTGCCTCAAAAAGCTGGTATAGATAAAGCTATTTTTGTTCTCTCCTTTTCTAGTCTCTATTAGGGTATTCTCTTCTTCATTTCACCTTTCAATCATAAATGGGTCTTTTATTTTTTTTTGTTTCTGGGCAAATTTCCCTCTATCCATTTCACCAAAAAAGAGTTTTCATATGTTTTCAACTTGAAAGTAAATCATCAGACAAGGGTTTCACATTTTAATAGATTATTAAATTTGTTCTTCCTTTCTACTAAGCACGAAAGGAATATGATCATCAACTATGAAGGTATCTTGTAACGTCAGCTTTCTAAATGGTGCATTTATTTTTACCGTTCCATCGTTTTAATTTCTTTCAGTTTCAGAAAATTCTGGCAGATTTTAGCTTTTTCAGTTGTTTAGTTACATATGTGTCCTCTTTTTGCTTTAAACTTTAATGTAAAATTTAGAAATACCATTTACGTTCATAATTATGGTACTTCCCCTGCAAGAAAAAAATTAGACTGGCCGCTGAGTTTTATGATCTTTGTTCAGAGTACCGTTTCAAGTCTGGACATTATTCTCTAGTCTTGGCCTATCCTGCTTAAACTTTTATGATCATTCTTTCATCTTTCTAAATAATCTGTTTTCATAATTAAATTATATATACTTTTCTGACATCCATATGCATCTGCCTCATAAAGTTTTTCTTTTTTTTTTTTTTTTGCCCCGGAAAGACTGAATCAAAGAGAGAACATAAGACGTTGTAAATTTTGTTTCCAACAGCAGTTGAAATCAGCCTTAATCTTGCTTTTTACGTCTGTCTAAAACAAGACGTTGAACTGTTTTTTTTTTTTTTTTTGTCTGTCTTTTATTTGAATTTTGAACTACAAGTGAGCATCAATTTTATTGCCAGTAATTTTTTCTATAATTTTCCTGGCTTGGAAGTTTACGCCTCAATATGATCTCTTGTTACCTCTAGGCCTTAAGCGATGTGGCAAGAGTTGTCGATTACGATGGCTTAATTATCTGAGGCCAGACATCAAACATGGAGGTTTTACCGAAGAGGAGGACAATATCATATGCACTCTCTATAGTCAAATGGGAAGCAGGCAAGTTTTTGTCTTTGTTTTTTTGGTTAAAGAATGATCTGTCTGGTTGCTCTTAAAAATTTTAGTTAATTACCTTGATCCCAAAGCTTCTTGTGTTAACTTATTCCAATGTCGGTTGTTTTTATATTGCTTCATTTAAGAATTATAAAAACTAAAAACTCCTCTTGTGATTCTTGTTAGATGGTCTCTCATAGCTTCTCAACTGCCTGGAAGAACAGACAACGAAGTGAAAAACTATTGGAATACCAAGTTAAAGAAGAAGCTACTGTCAGGAAAATCAAGCTTCAATAACAATGGTTTTGTCCCTGCTAACACTAATATTCCTCCTCAACAAGCAGCTTCACAGCCTTGTTTACCAAAAGCTGAAACTTACAATCTGGATTGCTCAACTTCACAGTCTCATATTTCTACACCATTGTCAATTTCAACTGATGTTGGTTATGGATTCTCTGTCATTAGTACTCAAAACTTGCCTTTAGACCCAGTAATGGACTTTTCTGGCCCAGAAGCAATCACCCATCTGTCACAGTCACGTGCAACTTTGGCGAATAGTCACATTGTTACCTCCTCTCACGAGCAAGCCGGCATTTGGGATTCTACTTTTTTGGATACGGAGCTCAAGTCTGCCTCAATGCCTGGTAATGGATATGCTGAAGATACCGGCAATATTTTGATGGATCAGTTCAGCTTTGAGTTTCCTTATGAATTTGTCAATGGCATTTGGAGTCAGGAGAAAACGGGCGAGGTTGTTCCAAGTTGCTATGATGGTTTAGCTGATTTTTCCCATGCTGACGTAAAGCCTCAAGGACTGAATGAAAGTGTTGCTAATCGATACTGAGAGAGAAATGGCTGGAAGTTGGCCGGAATGGTGGAAGAAAAACTAAAAGAAATGTGAAAGAAAAGAGAGATACAAGATTATAAGATTTTCTTTTCAAGTCAAGTAAATGGAGCTTTAATTAATCTGATGTTGATTTTATAGTAATAGTTTTTATTCTCTGAATGCAGCCTTTAACCTTTCAATTTTGGACCCTGTTACCGGATAGAAACATTTCAAATGAAATAAAAATTTATGTAAAAATGATTATATTCTATTAACTGATAAGTTTCAATATGGACAATTGTCAAAGCGAAGTGGGGTCTTGAAAATTTTGGTTTTTAATTTATCCTATGGAAAGATGGACATGGGTGTGAGGGTGATTCCATCATCATGTCTGCCTGCTTTTTGCTGTTTCACTGATCACAAAAGTTGCATGGGATGGGGGCGTGGCCTGTTCAAATGGTCATAAATAACACATCATTTTCTAATTTCTATTCAATATTCATCCGAGTTTTACCATTTAAAACTTTTACACTCAAGATTTTTCTTGAAGCAGCATTAAATTATTGGATGAATATGTATAAAACATGACTTCCTTTCAGACATTTCAAGACCCAGAAATTAATAAAGTGCTAACATTTTCTTTTGCCATGCATGTGACTCTCCTGTGCCCATTGCCAATCTTTCTATTTCATATTTGGCACCTTTATAACTAACCTCCCCGAAAAAAAAATACTAGTAAACAAAAACAAGCATTTCTACATTTAAACATTTATTTTTCGCCACCCCTTTTCATTTTAATTACAAGTTCTAAAAATAAACTACCATTTTCTCTTAAAGCAACATATATAATGACTAATGAGATATAAGAACCTTGCCAACTATGCAACTTCGTTATATCTGGTAAAGGCTTCCCCGCTGGGGCCACTACTGTCGATATTTTTTCAACAGAGAGCCAGAAATCTGAGGCAGTTAAGGGTATAATTGATTAGCAGAAAACCCAACAGTGTTTTAGTTTGGAAACCCTAGATATACCCTGGTGAATGCAATTATAATCTTGCCTCAATTTGTCCACATACCCTGAGCAGCCCAGAAGCCAAATACACACTTGTTTTGGCTAACTGGTTATTCAATGTATATTCTACCCCTTACCTCAATAAGGAACTGCTCAAAAAGGATTCAAAATTTCAAAGTTTGGGAAAAAGAACTTGCTTATAGAGTTTTCTTTTCTTTAGGAATTAAGTAAATAGAAAAAGGCCCTCAAAGCTGGGCAGACATTTTGTTCCCTCTAATGTTTGCACATTGCACTTTCAGACATTTCATCATAATGTGCTTTAACTATATCTTGGTGGCGCTACTTGTAAATGAATATTCCTTCTTAAAAGTATTTAAGAGGACCAGCATATCTGCACCATTGGATAGACCAGCATTGCTTTTCTTTTTCCTCCCTGGGACACAGTTTTAATCCTTGCGGTCCTATTTTGTATTAACTGTATTTGCAAAGAAGATCATAACATGAAAAAAAAAAGAAAAAGATTAAGATTTTGAGATTAAAATTTCAAATCTGCTGAATGTTTTTTTTGACTATATAAATTAATTGAAATAAGTTTCGAGTTCAAAAACCCTATCTTTCAATGTGTAAAGCTATTTAATTAAGTTCATCTTCTTAATTTGGTGTAACGCTCTTTAAAGAATCGGAGGAACTAGCTAACTTGCCTAGAGGGCCGCATCTTTTAATAGTAAATGAGAGAGAGATGATCAGAATTTAAAAGATTGAAAATCTGATGAAATCTAAACATTTAGACATCAAAGAAGATTTTCAATCCCAATGACATGAGCTTAAGAACAACACATTGAATCTAATTTATAGTATGTACTTTAGTTCTCATATGCATTTTTATCTTTCAAAAATTTGAGTTTAATATGGATTGTTAATATTCTAATATCCACGGTGAAGTTTTTCAATTGATCAAGAATAAGTCCACAGAAGAAGGCAGTGGCTGAAACAAAGAAATCAATAGAAACGGAAAAATAATAAGTCCCTTTTAACATAAGAAAGAACAGTTACTGTTTTCCTTATTTATTTTTAAGAGAAACGAGAGAAAAAACACAACAATAAGAAACTGAGTTAAAAAAACTAGCAAGCCAATAGTGGGGCATGCAGGCATTGGAAATAGTTAAATGTGATTCATTTAAATACTAAACAAACGCAACTTGGTTTGAGTTCCACTTCTACAGATGTGAAATTAAATGTAAACAGCAGACAAAATCCAAAGGACAAAAAGAAATGATTGCGAATTTGCTATCACTTCCTTTAAAATGATTTTACTGTTGTTTTATAATAAGATCGTTTTGCATTGTTGTATGTATATTTGACTAAAGCAAACAAATTGACAAAGAAACTTTAGGCAAGGCACTTGAATGACAATGCTGTGTGGAATACATGTACAAGGCATGATAACGAAATGAGCCCATTCAAAAGGATGTTTAATATTTTGCTATAAAGGAATGATTAAATAAATTAAAAGGATAGTGGAATATAGGGTTTAGTTCAATTAATTTATGCAATAATTTTTAAAATATGATATTCAGTAAATCTAAAATTCAAATATTAAAATTTGTAATTTTTTAAAAATTTCATATTGTAATCTCTTTTATATCAAAACAAAATAAAAGGATAGTGAAAGATTCAACACAGAAAATTGATAATAGGACCAGTAAAATGCTAACATTGCTTTACTCTTGAAGAATATATATACATTACTTGCACGTAGTAGTGTTTCAGAGTTTCAGTAGGTGTTTGACTACGAGCACTCAAAGCACTTTCTAGTTTCTTAAGAACAACCTATATATTTCACTCATAACCATTACTTCATCAAATGGAACCAAATTCTAAAGAGTGCAATCTGCAATCTTTTCCAAAAGCTGAGGTATAACTTACATTGTTCACTTGCTTACGGCCTCCAATGCAGCTGCGCCAGCTCTTAGAGCATCAACCATTACAGTTGTTACTTTTGCACCTTCTAACATCAATATCCGATCAACTTTTGAAACATTATTTTGGTTATGCATGCTCTATACAACGCCAAGAACGAAATAATGGAGCTAGAAAAATATGACCTTTTTTTTTTCAAATTGAAAATGAAATGATAAAGGAATAAATTTGGTATTTATTTAGTTTTAGGACAGTAATCGAACCTAACATGAATGAACAAATGTACATTTTTAGTTTGTTCATTTATTTTTAAAGATGTTTGAGCTCAATTCGTGTTCAATAAAAAAATTGCATTGTTCATTTGAGCTCAATTCGTTTAAATTGTAAGATATTCGCATTCATTTATACTCAATTTGATTAAATTAAATAATTTATTTATAAATATTAAACAAACATGTTCATAGATATATATACATATATAAATAAATATATTCATGAATAATAAATAAACAACAATCAAACAAATTTTTAAAAAAAGGAACCCTAAATGAATATAAATGAATCTTAAAATAAAATTAAGGTAAAAAATGAAAATGTAATTTTGTTATTATCATTTATATATAAAAGTATGAATTTCAAAAGTGTTAATATAGAATAATCTAAATGCCCATATAAATTTTAAATTAACAAAGTTATCCTTAAATATATAATTTTTATTAATTTATTTAAGTTTAATTTATATCAATTAGAATTAAAATTAGAGTTTATGAGAAATTAAACTACTTAAGATTTTAAAATTTTAATTTTAAAAGTGTTAAAAATGATTGACTAAAATATTTTTAGTAAATTTTGTTTATAAATTTTAATTTAAAAGAAAATTTTTTTATTATTAGACTCTTTTTTTTATAATTAGACAAAAAAAATACTAAAAGTGGTTGACTAAACACTTTATAAAATTTTAATTCTAAAAATATTAAAAGCAATTGATTAAAATATCATTAGTAATTTTTTATGCTAATTTAGTTAGACTGAAAAAGTGTTAAAAGTGATTGACTAAACACTTAACAAAATTTTAATTCCAAAAATATTAAAAATGATTGATTAAAATATCATTAGTAATTTTTTTATATTAATTTAGTAATAAATCATTGATACTTTAGCAGTATATTATTGGTAACTTAGTAGTAAATTGCTAATAACATAATAATAAATTAATGATAACTTAATTATTAATTATTAATAAATTTTCTTATATGTAAAGTTATCAAAAGTTGAACCTTGGTTACTAGCATAAATATAAATTATTCTAAGTAAGAAATTATCAAGTAAAGTAAAATTAATTAGTTTTTGTGAATTCTTTTAAGGTGAGACATAATTCATTAGAACTATCTTTTGAATATGTCTTATGCCAAAGTTATATTTATTCACGAAAATTTATGTTATTAATACTAAAAATGAAATCATTATAAATTATATAGGTATTATATAATAAGTTTGTTATTTTTAAAATTGAAAATTTCTTAATAAAACATGACAAATAACAAGGTTAGGATTTTATTTTATTTTATTTTTTAAATTATGTATTTTAATATTTTTTATATAATAAAAATTTATGTATAATAAAATTTTTTAAATATAAGAAAAATTAAGCTTTCAATTGATAGAATGTACAATTACATCCAATTGATGGAAGCATCAATTGAAGATTATCCTAAGCAAAAAAATGAGACAAAATATTAATTGATTGTGCATAACTCTATCTTTTTCATATGACAAAAAATGTTAGTGCTATATGATGTTCAATTAAAAATATACCAATTATTTGTTTCAAATTTTTTTAGAATTAATATGAAATTCTTTTATTTGAAAAAACATTGTATACTCCTTCATTTTCTCTTTTATGTCAGTTTTAAAAATATTCATAGTTGTATCAAAATTTTTAAAATTATCATATTAAGTAATATTTGTTCAAAAGAATTAAAATTTATCGAATTAATTATCACTATTATATTTAATATAAAAATATTATTATAAATTATAATTTAACTAAAGTTAAAAATGATGTATATGTATTTATTATCAAAATTTATTTGATAAATTTTTATTTAATTGTATATTTAGTATTTTAATCATTTTGAAATTTGACTTTTCATAATTTCGAGTTGGATTTTAAATTTATGATCAACGACCAATTAGATAGAGTCAAGTTTTATTATTTACTTATATCATAGTGTACTCAATTATTTACTTGTGCAACTGAACAAATTTGACTCAATAATTGGTGTATTTTTTT